GAGGGGGAGAGAGAGAGAGAGAGAGAGAGAGAGAGAGAGAGAGAGAGAGAGAGAGAGAGACGACGAAGGACGGGCGGGGTGCGCCAGGTGGCCTCACGGCCGGGTCAGGGTGGCCAAAGCCCATTTTGGGGACAGTGATGTGCCTTCCAAGGTCGGTCACAGGTATGTCTCCTGTCCTCCCACCTGGGGTCTGTTCGCTGCTGCGCTGTAAGGACACAAGGTTTTTTGTGGAACTTAGAACATTGATGCGAGGGTGGCCTGGGCTGTCTGGCGGCCTGTGTGGGAAGGAGGTGCCAGCAGCCGGGAGGGTGTGAGAACGGGACTCCCGGGACCTGGGTGTGAGAACGGGACTCCCGGGCCCGGGGTGTCCGGAGATGGTGGCATTGGGGGTGGCTGGAGGAGGCGTGGCCGTGGGATAAACCATTTTGCTAGAAACTTGGTGGACAGAGAAGCCCCAGTCAATATCTGTCAAAACAAACATGGTCGCAGGTTTCCAGGATGAGACAGACTCGGGTGCTAAGAGGGAAACATCTCCGAGCCCGGGTAACGGCTGAGCCGCTGGTTTATTTTGAGCTCCTCGTGGTTGGAATGCCCAGGGCCCGGGGCCGGGATGACCCGAGGGGCTCAGGCGCGGGGCACGGGGACGGTGCACAGCAGGCCCGCCAGAAGAGCCAGGCCCAGCGCGGCCACGACGGCCAGCGCCGCGTCCCACCAGGGCCCCGGGTCGGCCCAGGACGCCCGCAGGCTCCAGCCGCAGCTGCCCAGCTCGGAGCCGCTGAGCTGCCCGAGCGCGCGGCCGGAGGCGGGGCCGGGGCCGGCACAGCGCACGCGCAGCAGCTCCGCGGGCGCGCGGTCCTCCAGCCAGAGGCGCAGGTACGTGACGCCGCAGTCGCAGCGCCAGGGGTTGTGCGCCACGTCGAGGCTCTGCAGCTGCGGCAGGTGGTCGAAGGCTCCCGGGGGCACTGAGCGCAGGCTGTTGTTGGCCAGCAGGAGGTGGCGCGTGTGTGCCGGGAGGGCGGGCAACACCGCAAGTCCCCGGCCCCCGCAGTCCACCAGCAGCCCCATGGTGTCCAGGGCGCGGCAGGCGCACGCGGCGGGGCAGTCCTCGGAGGCCTCGGCGGCCGCCCAAACCAAGAGCAGGGCAGCCCAGATGGACATCGGGCAGGACGGGCTGCGGGGACAGTGGCCGTGAGGTCCTGGCGGCCTGCACCCGACGCAAGGGGTGGTGGGACCCGACCGGACAAGGGACCACTCACCTCCCTCTCCGGCCGGGCTGTCTCCTCCGTGAAAAGGGTGCTGGGGTCAAGGAAGTGAAGCGTGCGGGATCCCGGCCAGCTGACACTCCCCGGATGGTCAGCAGGCAGGACCGTGACGGCCGCTGCGGTGGGAGCACGGATTGGGCTTAGTCCTTCCTTGGGAAGAGGAAGGACCCTGCCGTCCTCTGGCAGAGACCCAGCCTCTACTCCGCGGTGGGGGGAGCAGATGCCTGCTAAAGAATCCCAGACCTGGCCCCACCCCCGCCCCGAGGCGGGGGAGGGCCTCCCAGGCTGCTGCCAACACCCACCCGCAAGCCTTGGTCTGGCAGATGGTGTGCGCGCCACAGACCACTCCTGGGCCCACGGATTCCAAGTCGCTTGGCCCCAGCGGAGTGAACTCTCACAAGTGGTCTCTGGTGTGGAAGGCAGCTGGCTGAGGATGTTGACAGGGGAATAGGGAAGGGGACCCAGAAGGGGCTGAGCCTGGAAAGCTGTTGATCGAGGCTCATGCTTGGAGTTGGGAAATTGAGGCCCAGAGAGGAAGAGTGGCTTGTGCAGGGCTGCCCAGCGCTCCATGTCAGAGACCACATTGGCACTCAAGTCTCTGCTTTCTGCCTGGTTCACCGCCCCTCCAGGACTCGGTGCGGGCTGTTTCCCCTCGCGAAGACAAGCTTCCAATGAACGTTTGTTGAATAAACCAATGAATCTTGACTCAGCCAAGGCCCTGGTGTCTCAGGGAGAACGCCTGCCCGTGCCCCCCACCCCCCAGGAGGGACAGAAGCTGGACTTGCCTGCCGGCCTCCTCTCTCCCTGCCCGGCCTGGTCCCACCGCCTCCCCTGCCAGGGGCCCACACAGCGGGAGGTGGTGCTGGGGTGATGAGGGCCGCTTACCTTTCAGGCCTGCTGGCAGGGCGCCCCTTTCCCGGCCTGAGCTGTCCTGGCTGAGGCCACAGTGATCGCTCTGTGTGGGGCAGCCGATGGCAGCCCCTGCCCGAGCAGGAGGAAGGAAATGGTGAAAACAGCCTGGCTTATCCCTGTGTGCAGCCCCCAGGGGGCCTATCTCCAGAGGTGGGGGCCCTCGGGGTCCCAGGGACTTGCGCACAGAACCGCAGGTCAAGCCCAGTTTATGGAAGGGTACAGTGCCTCTCACTGCACCGCCAGTGCCCCATGATCCTCAGCGTGCAGGAGAACCAAGGGGGGCCCTGGTCCCAGAAGGTGTGCATGGCTTCCAGGAGGAGGGTGCCGTTGCATCTTCAGCGCCTTTCAACACTTTCTGATCCTTCTTTTTAACAAAGAGCTGCATCAGTCTCAGGCTAGAAGTCAAGACCATAGTCGTATGTGCATTGTATTTATTTCTATAGCGACATTCTACTCTGGGGAGTGACATCAGCTTCCCATCTATGTTAGTGATATAAAGTTCTCTATAAAAGATAAATGTATCTTTAATTATATTTTAGCGTTATGAAATATGAATTAAAATCAAGCTGAACAGTGAAATATTACAAAGAATTATATTGGAAAATTAAAACATTAATGTATGCTTTTTATTAGAAGTCATAAAAATGTCAGCAATATGAAATATTAACTTAAGTCAATAAGGGATTTGCAGAGATGGCAAAAGTTGCACCCGTGGCAGGGTGGGGGTACCGAGGTGTGGGAACCCCTGGGGTATAGCAAGGCTTTGGGAACAGGGAGGAGGGGTTCTAGCAACCAGAGGGGCCCAGGAGAGGAGCCCAGAGTGGGGGGCTGCTGAGGAGAGGGACCCCTGGCCATCCCCCATGGCTGTGGCCAGTGTCAGCCAAGGACGTCAGTCTCGGGCCCCCAGTCTGGATGGTTGTAAACCCTCTAAAACTCAGAGGGTTCGGGCTGGAGAGCGAAACTGAGGCCCAGAGCTGCCATGCTGCCAGCCGAGGGGACACTGGACCGTGAACAGGGCCAGGTATCACCCCAGCAGGAGGGAGGGAGCCCGCACCCTCTCCAGCTGATCCTTGTTCTTAAAACAGGGTCGTTGCACCGGAGGTCACGGCGCTGGGCAGGAGAAATCAAAGTCAGGGGGCTGAGGGCGCTTTACCCCCGGCACCCCAGACCCACAGGAATGTTCCTCGCGTTCAGGACAGGCAGCCGGTGTTGGCCCTGCGACTCCCAGGCTGTTCCTGACCTGACCTCATCTGGTCGGGCCCACGCTCTCTCCTCCTCTGGGGCCTCTGAGGTTTCCTTCTTATTTTCAACACGTACAACTCAAAACCACAAAAAGCGACACAAATAAGAAATCGTTTTCATTGTGGAAAACCTGAACTCTGCAGATGAGCAGAAGAAGACGAGAAAAATTGTCCTCGCCGCAAAAGTGAGAGGCCCGCGTACCGCAAAAAAAAAAAAAAAAAAATTGTCCTCAACCCCAATACCCAGCAAGACTACCTTTTATTTCTGTCCCGTGAGTATTGTTTTACCCAAACAGGGCCTCGCAGGGTCCACGGCCTTGGGGAACCTGCTTTCCCGCCTGTGGGTACAGCCTCCGGTCATCAGCATTCATGTGGCTCCACTCTGGACGCACCTTCTATGTGGGGATCCTGGGCATGCAGGGCTCGCCTGCTCTCCTTATCTCCCCGCAACAGGCGTTTGTGGGGACGGGGGTGGGGGCAGCCTCTGGGCTTCCGGAGGGGACACCCGCTTCCAGGGCTGCCTGAGCTGGCCGGCCTGGCTGACCACACGGTTCCCCCC